TATGTACAAAATATGTACGCAATGTACACGTGGAAATCCTTTCCTTTTATATAGTACTAGGGTAGGGTCTATATACCTATATGTCTTTCTAACGCTGTTTCTAAGCGTGACACGCCCTTGTGTATAGGCCAACATGTACATTACTAAACGAGTTACCGTTTGATACAATTTTTATAACGAATGAGTGAGTATGGTTTTACGCCGCTTTTAGCATTATTCCAGCAATGTCGCGGCGGGTGACACCAGAAATGGGCTTCACTTTGTACCCATGTGGGGAATCGAACCCGGGTGTTCGGCGTGACGAGCGAACGCTTTCACCATTAGTCTAACCTTTATAACGAATGAATTTAAAATATGTATTTAAAGAAGACTACGGATGTTGACAATATTTTATTCAGAGACCATATACACGTTTCGGAATATGGTCTGTTTTAGTTCACGATTAAATTGCAAATTAAGGGATGGCCTGCGAATAAACAGTTTATATGATACGCATATTTCAGTGGGATCAGTTGAAAGAAGATATCACAAGCCCAACATCTTGCGAGGCGAGGGCAAATCAGAGTCAATCAGTTAGGTGAGGTGAATTGGGGTTTAACGTCGTACTTAGAATATTAATAGAATAGACGACGTGCATGCATGTGTATGGTTTGCTGCTTGTACTAGCCCAGACTAAAGCTGGTTTATAGTGCTAGCTCACCGAGATGCCATGCCGCACTTAGACATTTAAGAATTGAATGTCAGTTTGTGTGTTTGCACTGAAAAATGAACGATGTCAAAGCGGTGTTCAAACTCGTGTGAACGAGCGAGTTTACGAGGCGAGGGCAAATCAGAGTCAATCAGTTAGGTGAGGTGAATTGGGGTTTAACGTCGTACTCAGAATATTAATAGAATAGACGACGTGCATGCATGTGTATGGTTTGCTGCTTGTACTAGCCCAGACTAAAGCTGGTTTATAGTGCTAGCTCACCGAGATGCCATGCCGCACTTAGACATTTAAGAATTGAATGTCAGTTTGTGTGTTTGCACTGAAAAATGAACGATGTCAAAGCGGTGTTCAAACTCGTGTGAACGAGCGAGTTTACGAGCGAGTTCACGCGCGAGTTTGACCAACGCTTTGACATCGTTCATTTTTCAGTTCAAACAGCCAAACTGACATTCAATTCTTATAATTTCGCAATTTGAAGTATACACATACGTTTTCCACCCACTTGTAGATGATCATTGTTTAGTGTGTTTTAATACCTGTAAAATGTTGTAATGCCATTCGGTTCAAGAACGTACGTATTGCAGCGATGTTTGTATACACAGCGATTTTCTTTACACATGTATCCCAACCCTTGAAGAAATAGTTCTCAAAGTATTTGATCTTTAAAATATAACAACAAATTCGTTATGAGGTTTGAAACTGCTTTAATAAGTATAATCAATAACAGTATCAAACAGAAACAAATATCAGAAGCAATAACAATACCATTTTAACAAACTGGCATTGTACCTTTTTCACTTGTAAATACCTTGTTTGACCGCGTAATAATACACTGACCGACTTCGAAGTTGTGCGGCGTGGCGAATAGGAAACAGATCTTGTTGTATTCTATTTATTTGTGATTGTTTATTGTGAAATTTATTGAGCAGTTGTTAAACAGACCTCGGGGCAGAAAACCGCCGGATGAACCCGCAAACTGCGAGACATTAAACTCCTGTGAAAAGGAACAATGTTCGGCAATCCGTTTGGTAGTGACATTGCCAAACTTGGGGTGACTTGAAACTATTGGGGGTCCTTGAAACCGAAGCGAAAAACGTTCACACACGTATGAACGGTGTTTACACAAGTATGAACGATTAGAGGGGTTCAAGAGTAATGAACCTTGAAATTTAGATCACATGACCGCTCTCTCAACCAACCAACGTTCGGGAATCTGTGTAAACTTGAAAGCACGAAATTATTTAAGAATTGAATGTCAGTTTGTGTGTTTCCACTGAAAAATGAACGATGTCAAAGCGGTGTCCAAACTCGTGTGAACGAGCGAGTTTACGAGCGAGTTCACGCGAGAGTTTGAACACCGCTTCTGACATCGTTCATTTTTCAGTGCGCAAACACAACAAACTGACATTCAATTCTTATAATTTCGCACTTTGAAGTTTACACATACGTTTTCCACCCACTTGTAGATGATCATTGTTTAGTGTGTTTTAAGACCCAAATGTTGTAATGCCATTCGGTTCAAGAACGTACGTATTGCAGCGATGTTTGTATACAGCGATTTTTTACATGTATCCCAACCCTTGAAGAAATAGTTCTCAAAGTATTCGATCTTTAAAATATAACAACAAATTCGTTATGAGGTTTGAAACTGCTTTAATAAGTATAATCAATAACAGTATCAAACAGAAACAAATATCAGAAGCAATAACAATACCTTTTTAACAAACTGGCATTGTACCTTTTCACTTGTAAATACCTTGTTTGACCGCGTAATAATACACTGACCGACTTCGAAGTTGTGCGGCGTGGCGAATAGGAAACAGATCTTGTTGTATTCTATTTATTTGTGATTGTTTATTGTGAAATTTATTGAGCAGTTGTTAAACAGACCTCGGGGCAGAAAACCGCCTGATGAACCAGCAAACTGCGAGACATTAAACTCCTGTGAAAAGGGACAATGTTCGGCAATCCGTTTGGTAGTGACATTGCCAAACTTGGGTGACTTGAAACAGGTTCGTTTTATTGGGGTCCTTTTATCATCCAAAACTGTGTTCCACAGAGATATCGCTTGTGTGAGATCAAACGATATCTCCTAGGAGATATCATTTTGACAGTAGATTTTGTACAATGCCCTGACAATGCTATGACGTCATGTACTTGATGACGTCACAATGCTATGACATCGCTGCACTGCAAGTCTAATGGCAGTACCATGTTCAGAGATGTACATTTTCATTGAAAATTAATGAAAGAGTGATTTTGGATGATAAATAGAATCTCACCCTCGTGTCTTCTGATATCAAATATATCAACACTCGTTGATAAAAGTAAAAATATCCTCGGCAAGCCTCGGATATTTGTAACTTTATCAAGTCGTGTTGATATAATTGATATCAGAAGACACGTGGGTGAGATTCTCTATGTGTATGGTTTGCTGCTTGTACTAGCCCAGACTAAAGCTGGTTTATAGTGCTAGCTCACCGAGATACCATGCCGTACTTAGACATATTACACTGACTCCCAGCCGACCAGTCCTTGTTGTACCCATTAATGCCGAGCACCAGGCAGGGACCAACAAGTACTTAACATATTTTAACATCTTTTGGCATGACACGGCCGGGTCGAACCCGCGACCTTCCGCTCGTCGGGCAGACGCTCCAACCACAACACCACGGAGGCGGTCAATCAGTTGTTGTGCAAAGGGAATGCAAACATATACGAGTGACGCGTTTCACACAGCTCTCGAAACTTTTATTCTGGGAAGGACCTTGGGAACACTTGGTCGAAGGGAGATTACTCTCATTTGCAAAATTGCAGAAATGAAGTCCGAATGCTATCTGAATGCTATCTGGGAGGTCGTAGGTGAGAAAGAAGACAAATGTTATGGCTCTTCTACATGAAGTTTTGTTAAATAGTGATTCTCTGAAATGTTTTCATGCCACAATACTTTGACACAAGAGTGTGAGTACATCTCTCTTTCAAACCTATCTGATAGCGAGTGCAGCAACAGACCCTACACAGATGCATGATCTTTGGGACAACTTCAATGAAAACACCTGGATTTCCTGTATGCCCACGCGAAAATAAGTCAGCCAAATTAACGTTGTGTGGGACATGAGTGTATAAAACATAGCCCGTCCCACCGTCCTTGACGCACACTCCGGCACAGCGATGACTTGACATACTATGCTGGCTTGCCCCATGGAACTCTGGGTAGGAGAGTGTCCTTGACGGTCTATTTTGGTGAAGGGGGGTCTGTTAAATAAGCATTGCCGTCCTTTGGACTGGAGAACTATTTGAAAAAATTAACTTAACTTGGTTTGAACTTCGTCTTATCTATTATTATTATAATTTTAATTATACCTCCCAGACAAGACTAAACCTATTGACGCTGCAGCTAAATGAACAGATGTTAAAAAATCGTCAGGTCCATCCTGCTATTTACAGCTGTATGTTTATTAAACAGTGAAATCTCCAACCCATCAGCAATAAACATATATACAAACATATATACATCTGCTTTATGTACATGCACATTGATATATACATGTTTAAGGATGTATATAAACATTTGGATCTGTTGAAACATACATTCACAGGAAACCAGAGACACTATTATACACAGATCCTCATCACAAATGTGGTGTGTATGAGGTATGGTTCAGGATGATTCTTCACAACATATATATTACATTCATTCCTTGACAGTAGGACCATTTGAACTTCACTTATACTCTGTGTAATCTCTCTCACACACACAAGCACCCGCACAAGTGTCCTGACAGGACAAAGATATATTCTAGTGTGATTTAGCAATATTCCAGCAATATCAAGGCAGGGGACATCAGAAATGGGCTACACACATGTGGGGAATCGAACCTGGGTGATAGGTGTGACAAGCAAACATTTGAACCATTAGGCTACCCCATCGCTCTTGTTTCTCTCTCTCACACACACAAGCACCCGCACACACAACCACTCAGAGGCACACTCTTGAAACTCATAATATTAAGACGAACACAAGTGTCCTGATTCTCCAGGACAAAGATATATTCTAGTGTGATAAAAAATTATTTGTTTCAGATGAAAGTGAGTTAGTTTTATGCAACTTTTAGCAATATTCCACCAATATCAAGGCAGGGGACATCAGAAATGGGCTACACACATGTGGGGAATCGAACCTGGGTGATAGGCATGACAAGCAAACATTTGAACCATTAGGCTACCCCACCGCTCTTGTTTCTAATGTAAATTGTATAAATATTGTGTAAATTGTGAAGAATACAACTGGGAGATTTCACAAACTCTTTAAATGAAAAAGTAGAAAACAGTTTGAGCATCATAAATAATGCATGGGTATCCTCCACAATGACAGGAATGTGACAAAGGATCGTTGTATCGAAGGGAGCTACCATTGTACCATTCTCTGCATGTCCAGGTCTTGCGATTTTGCGATCTTAAATTACCAGCAGTGGATTTTCTTTAACCAATTTTTCAATTGCTACGCTTCCCAGTCTAGTGGACCAATCAGAGAGCGGGTTACAAACCAGCCTCAGTGTTAGATTGGTGATATCAACATGATGGCAAATGACCATTGATTACAATAGGGTTTGCAAGAAATTCAATAATTAAATAACATGGCTGACACGCAAAGAAGAGGCCTCAAATATTTCTATGTCCATTAGACCTGGTTGCTTTGTTAGCTTGGATTTACAAGTTGCCTCCCTTACCCATTGCCTTATCTCCACATTTGATTGGTCAATAAAATGTTGCTAATCTGAGGCAGGTAATCTAAGATTGATCATATGGTTCACGTAGGTTTATCAAAATGCAAACTCAGCAGATATGGATGATTCCATTGTATACCTGCATTGGCGGATCCAACGGATCGACAGTTCGGCCCCAGGAACCCCCCATTTTGAAAATGACTAAAGACCACATTGAAATTTGTATTGGCCAAGCCAAGGTGTGTGTGTGTGTGTGTGTGTGTGTTTCAGGGGGTTCAACTGATTTTCAGTCAAAATGCAAATTAGCCTCACTACAGGAGAGACAATATTGCACTTTGTCAAAAAATACATATTTAAAAATTTCGGGTTCATAAATGTTGCTCTCCTGATCTTAGAGAGAAAGACTAAAGGTTTGAACCTTGGCATTGGTTCTGTTGAGCCAAGGTGTGTGTACATGGAATGTCTCACACTGGCATGGGAAACTGTTCTGCATATTTCATTCCTTCCTCTTGGGCATCTGTAGGACAGCCATCCTTGCTGGAAAATGATGGGTTTTCAATATTAGAGTAAACGGCTTCAATACAGGTGAATGTTCTTTATTGCAAGAGAATATACTTATATGCATGTGAATGTTCATCAATGCAAATGAAATGACTTCAGTCAAAGCAACTGTTCATTAATATGAGCAAAAACTTTATATACATGCAAACTGTCTTCAACTCAAGTAAACTATTTCAAATTGAATGAATGTCTTTAATGTGAATCGATGACTTCAAAAAGAGTGCATACTTATTAATGGGGGTGAATAACTTCTTTACCACTGAATGTTCTTTATATGTGAGCGAATTGCTTCAATAAAAGTGAATATATACACATGTAAAAATGTTTTGCAACACTATATATTTCATAGTATCAATACGCTACCAATAACCATAACACAAGAACTTATCAAAACGTCAGTTTAACTTACTGTCTGGAGAAACTGACCCACAAGGAATAATTAAATGGCAAATCTTAATGCAAAAAGAAAAAAAAGAAGACCTGCAGTCTATTCACAGAAGCAAACATGGCAAATTGCTGACTTGATTTGTAAGCCCACCTCACCCCAAGCCCCACTCACCCACAACTGTCCTGCTTCTTGTCTAGAGACACGTTCTTCAGGGTGATGGTTTCAGGTAAAATCTCCACATTTCTGACACTGCCGAAGAAGTCTGTGAGTGGCACCTTGTCTGGGTCTCGCTTGAACAGGTCTTTGCGTACACTTACAGTAGAGATACATTGGCTCTTCGGACACACCCGCAGCTGTAAGTTAATAGCATCAATTAAACATTTATAATCTTTACATTCAAGTTTTCAAAAGAGAAATGTCACATTCACATATTCAAGTTGGTTTGTTGATTTGTTGTTTAACGCTGCACTCAGCAATATTCCAGCTATATGGCAGTGGTCTGTAAATAATCGAGTCTGGACCAGACAATCCAGAGATCAGTGTCATGAGCATCGATCTGCCCAATTGGGATACGATGACCTGTGTCAACCAAGTCAACGAACCTGACCACCCAATCCCGTTACGGCATTAGTGGCCTCTTACAACAAGCTTGGGTTACTGAAGACCAATTCTAACGCGGATCTTCATGGGTCAAGTTGAGTATATAATATATTACAAACTGTCCCACTGTCTGTCTCAGTAGTCCTGATACTCCATACAAACAGGCCCACTTTCTCTTTATCTGAGGATTTCTGGTGCTATTTCAGTGTGCGAAATTTATGCTGGTCCTGTGGTCCCTGACTAGTAAAAATTCATTAGGACCACTAAATGATAAGTTTGTAGTGGTCAGTGAATTTGGGAAATTTTGAAAGGTTTCTGACACTGCTATTTCTTATCTTAAATTGTTATTTAACGCTGCACACAGCGATGTTCCAGCCATATGACAACACCCGTTCATTTGCCTCTTACAACCATAGGTTGCTGGGAACCCATTCTAACCCAGCATCTCCTCAAGGGTTACTTACAAACTGTCCTACTGTCTGTTTGCCAGATGGATTGACCTTCTCAAGGAACTCCAAAGCATAGTAAGTGTATCTGTCAATGACGTCCACGCCAAGTGCTGGGTCCACGTGATGCTGAAAACATAACAAACAGTGGAGGATATTATACTGAGTGTGTTGGGGTTTACGGTACTTTATAACCTCAGCAAACTGGATCTATTCTTATTTTTACTACATTTATTGACATTGTGGATCATCCATCCTTGTACAGATGTAGGTAGTGATATATTCACTAGGCAGTAATGTATAGCCATGGAAGTGTTGCATTTACTTTGATGATCATGTGAAAATGTGTGAGTCAGTCAGTGAGTTGGGTGTTAGGCTGTCTTAAGCATTATTCTAGCAATATCATGGTGGGGAGCACCAGAAATGGGCTTCACATGTGGGAAGGATATTATAACCCACAGCAGTGTGAGTTATAGTAAGTGGGTCATTGTAATGTTGAGTTATCATCCAGCAAGCCTGAACAAGTGGCTGACAGCATGGGGTGGCCATTATTGCTAATTTCCAAAGTTGTAGCCAGTGAATAAGCAGTATTTGACAATAAGCATGAGTGAGTGAGTTATAATCTAGTGTTTAGTGAGGCCCACTATGTGAGTGAGTGAGAGAGTGAGTTTAGTTTTACACCGCACTCAGCAATATTCAAGCTATATGGCGGCGGTCTGTAAATAATCGAGTCTGGACCAGACAATCCAGTGATCAACAGCATGAGCATCGACCTGCGCAATTGGGAATGAATGACATGTGTCAACCAAGTCAGCGAGCCTGACCACCCAATCCCGTTAGTAGCCTCTTATGACAAGCATGGGTTATTGAAGATCAATATTCTAACCCGGACCTGCACGGGTAGCCCACTATGTGTGGGGCTACGTGTGGCAGCCATGACTTACCGACAGGGAGTCCTCTCCGATCTTGCTGCTGGCTACAGCCAGGATGTTGGGGGAGTAGAACTTCTGGAACATGGACTCTGCCTGACATGTGTCAATCATAAAGAACAGCTCATGGTATCTGAAACCGCAACAAGCATATAAGAGACATGATGGAAGAAAACTTTACAAAGAAACTTCAGGGATTACAAATTCTGTTTAATTATATAAAGCGATATTCTGATGAAGATTATAAATCTGTTTGATATAAAAACCATCAAACACTGATGGCAAACATCAATACTCTTGAACTTGCTGACTTTTCTGGCGAAGCATTGTTTCTTGTGACTGACTTAAGTCCAATAGTCATAATTCTGCTGCATGCATTTATTATATGATGTTTAGCGCGCCACCATCAGCATTATTAAAGGAATATGGTAGTGCCCGGTGATTAATCAATCACTGAATAGACAATCCAGTGATCCATATTATGAGCCCAAATGCACATCATCAGGTTACACACACAGAGAATCTGACCACATTATCCATGTTGTTGCCTCTTACAGCCAGTATAGTCTTGACCCTGGTCTAAACCCTACTCCCTACAAGATGCATGAGTCTGGGAGGCACAGATTGAAGGCTTCACCCTCTCTAGTCCACACACCTGCGCTTGGTCCACATTTGCTGGAAGGCGTCAGCCAGTTCCACGTTCGACACCTCCTCAGCATCTTGGAACTTCAGGAAACCATCTCCTCCGTGTCCTGCAACAGATAGAGGTAGAATTCTTCAGTTCGGCCATGAATTGAAAATAGTGATTCTTACACATCCGTGGGTGAGAAACATAGTACATGTATGTGAGAAAACCAGTATCTAGCATACGTGCGAGATCGAAATCTAGATTGCTCCATGGTGATGACCTCAGGTCACATTATGACAGGCTAGTTTCCCGATTGTGGGTACATGACCCAGAGATGACTTTATCATGGGTCAGCACTATACTCATGCTCATGGCATTTAAGAAAGTGTGAAGATCTCTTTGACCTTTCCTCTTGTATTAAACTGACAGTCAAGAACAAACCATAATTTATCTTTAATCAGGGACTTAAACCACAATGAGTGAGTAAGTGAGATTAGTTTTACGCCCTTACTAGCAATATTCCAACAATATCACGGCAGGGAGGGACCCCAGAAATGGGTTTCACACATTGTACCCATGTGGGGTATCGAACCTGGGACTTTGGCGTGACGAATGAACACCAAAAGTGACCTTTAACCACTGGGCTACCCATCGCACTTGAAACCCACAGACAACTAATGGTGAAAGGAAGCAGGTGTAGTTTGCATGTCACACCAAAGGCATGGGTTCGATTGGTACAGTGTGTGAAGCGCATGTGATATTGCTGGAATATTGCTAAAAATAATAATGATAATATCCTGTACCTGTCATATACACAAGGATATTGCTGCGTTCATCTGACAGCAATCGTTTTGACCGTGGTGTACTCGGTGGTAGACGTCCTGTCAACACCCGGATGAAGTTCTCCACTGTCACCTACATAGACAACACAATCGGTAATGCAGGATAGACAAAACATATAGCATGGAACATGAGGTGTGAGTGACCAACTGAATCAGAGTGCCATGTGGACTTGACCAACTGAATCAGAGTGCCATGTGGACTTGACCAACTGAATCAGAGTGCCATGAGGACTTGACCAACTGGATCAGAGAGCCATGAGGACTTGACCAACTGAATCAGAGAGCCATGAAGACTTGACCAACTGAATCAGAGAGCCATGAAGACTTGACCAACTGAATCAGAGTGCCATGAGGACTTGACCAACTGAATCAGAGAGCCATGAGGACTTGACCAACTGAATCAGAGAGCCATGAAGACTTGACCAACTGAATCAGAGTGCCATGAAGACTTGACCAACTGAATCAGAGTGCCATGAGGACTTGACCAACTGAATCAGAGTGCCATGGAGACTTGACCAACTGAATCAGAGTGCCATGAGGACTTGACCAACCGAATCAGAGTGCCATGAACTTATGATGAAGACTTGGCCAACTGAATCAGAGTGCCATGAGGACTTGAACAACTGAATCAGAGTGCCATGAAGACTTGACCAACTGAATCAGAGAGCCATGAGGACTTGACCAACTGAATCAGAGAGCCATGAGGACTTGACCAACTGGATCAGAGTGCCATGAGGACTTGACCAACTGAATCAGAGCGCCATGAGGACTTGACCAACTGAATCAGAGTGCCTGGAGGACTTGACCAACTGAATCAGAGCGCCATGAGGACTTGACCAACTGAATCAGAGAGCCATGAAGACTTGACCAACTGAATCAGAGTGCCATGAAGACTTGACCAACTGAATCAGAGTGCCATGAAGACTTGACCAACTGAATCAGAGTGCCATGAGGACTTGACCAACTGAATCAGAGAGACATGTGGACTTGACCAACTGAATCAGAGTGCCATGAGGACTTGACCAACTGAATCAGAGAGCCATGATGACTTGAGCAACTGAATCAGAGTGCCATGAGGACTTGACCAACTGAATCAGAGTGCCATGAAGACTTGACCAACTGAATCAGAGTGCCATGAGGACTTGACCAACTGAATCAGAGTGCCATGAACTTATGATGAAGACTTCGCCAACTGAATCAGAGTGCCATGAGGACTTGAACAACTGAATCAGAGTGCCATGAAGACTTGACCAACTGAATCAGAGCGCCATGAAAACTTGAACAACTGAATCAGAGTGCCATGAACTTATGATGAAGACTTGACCAACTGAATCAGAGTACCATAGGATATGAAAAACTGCATGGCCTCACCTCATATCCCCGGTAATCCACCTCCACATCATCTCCGTATACATTGATGTGCTGGTTGGCATTGTTGAAGACCGTTGCAGGACGGGGGTTCCTTGGGTTGCATGCCATGTCATCTGCCACCATCAGGATAATACGACTGCCAGGACAAACAAGACATAAAGACTGTTAATTCTTTGGCTTACAGTTAGGAAGGTGACCAAAGTGCAAGATAGATACAAATTTAGGTACTTTTGCCAAAAGCAAATTCTACACAGTTCACAGATTGTTATCATGGTTAAGAAACTATGACATGTCTGGAAGATAAACTACTAGATCCTCATGACTGTTCACTATATAATCATTGATAATGTCTGAGGGGTGTAGTATCAACAGATTTTTCTTGATCAAAACCTGTCAAAAGAATTCTACCTGTCAGGAATCCCAAGTCGCTTGACGCTCCTGTAGATGGAGAGGACGTTGGCAACATGGCGGTAGTTGAACCAGAACCGAGATGTGTCCACCAGCACTGCCCAGTTGTTGGTGTGACCACTCTTGAAGAACTCTTCCACCTTTTCCTGCAATGACCACAACATTGAGAAATTCTACATGTTGTCATTGTTGATTTGACTTAGAACTGTTTCACATTTTGTATACACAATGCCTTAATTTCCGTTATATATTCACATAGTGAGGTGCCATCGGATCTGAGCGCCCGAGTTAAAAGTCTCAGCTACACTTCTAAGATAGCCACTATTAACGTTACTGCTGGCACCAAGCCAAAATCAGGTCGTATCACGAAATTAGGTAACTTTAGACTTCTATCACAATTACGTTTGAATGTTCTACAGCTGACCTATATGGACCAGTCCCGCATCCGAAATATGACACAAGAAACATACTTACATCTGTATTACATGCCGCATGCTGAATAAAACTGACAGAAATCGCGATCGTACAAAATACTACGGCCGAGATGCGCTTCCTGGGAGCCGACATATTGAAAGTAGTCCGGCCGATGCGCTAACAAGTGCCCTGCATTTAGGGTAACATTCCTAACGCTGACAACATTTCCTCGAACAAAGATAAACCCGGTAATGTAATACTTGTGCCGTTTTTAACGATATATTTGTTTATGAATTATGTTATCTTCCATTTCCAATCCACATATTGTAGAACTATTTTCTCAATGAAAGTGATATATCTTCCGCCACCAACGATGTTTGTTGTCCTTAGATACAACCTGGGATATCGTGGACCTGGAAGTCGTCTGACACGATTTTAATAAATTTGTCAAAATATCATCCCAAGCGAAATACGTCCGCTGTCGCAGCGGCAAGATGACGACCGAAGATGCAAAGACATACCTCTCCAAGAGGGAAATTCCACGTTTGTTCGAGGTAAGAAATATTGTCAGCGTTTGACATGTAGATCTATGGATTGTTGTCAAAGCATGGTGATGGTAAATAAATGTTTCATTTTTATAAGACTTCTCTTTGTTTTTACATCATAATTCAAATTTCATGTTGATTATATATCAAGTGTCTTTAGTCTTACGTTTCTGCTTTTTGTGCTTATAAAATAACACCTAGAGAGAGAGAGAAACAAACGTCATTATAACCTGGGTATGTTTTTGTTTCGTTTGAGTGCTACTGTATGTTTTCTGTATATTTCTCGTGACTAAATCAGTAATCTACCCTACAGATCCATAACTTACTTGTTTCAGGAGGGTAGCATTATATTTGCAGACAAGTTAAGCCAAGCTTAATCTAGACTGTAAAAATGGATTTTTAAATTATTGGTAGTCAGCGTTTATTTCTATAAAAAAGAGGAAACCATTTTTATATTTCTGCATTAGTAATACTGTTCACATTGTAACAGGAGGATTCTGTCCAGGCCCTCAGGTCTGCAGGATTCAGGGCTTTGAAGCAACATTGACAACAAAACACAAGATTTTGTAAACCAAATTAATTTATTTAAAAAACCACACACAACAAATACAAATCATAGAATCAACAATCTACTAAGTTAAATAAAGAACCAAAACAGTAATGCCTCCAATATCCTAAAAAAATGAAAACCTATTAGAAATACCTATACGAAAGTACTGTCAGAAATAGAAAAAAAATTGTTTTTTCACATTATATCTACAGTTTATGTAGTTAATATGTGAAAGTGTGAAATATCTGTTACACTAAGTTTGGCCTAACTACAGTCCCAGTGGTAGGGAGATAGGAAACGTAGAAAAAGGGCTGAGGAGAGATTAGTGCAGAAATGAGCACTGAGGGTTTTTTCAAAGTCCAAAGCGACTTATTTGGAACAGACCATGGCTTTATGCAAATTAGTGTGCAATGATATTGTATTTCAAAGGACACTTTTTAAATGGCCAAATTTGAAATTAAATTTAGCTTCATTATAAATGATAGCTGACGTAAAAAATAATAACTTTCACGCTGAAACTATTAAGGATGTAGCTACCATGGAGTCTCACTATCACTATAAAAAGAAACAGATAGGAAGGGTCGTCTCAAAAGCAAAACCAGGATGGGTGTCGCAGACGGTGGTTGGAGTTGGGCTAGGGCCAGAGATATCAGCTAAGATGAGATTCATCTTGAGGGGAATTAAACTGGGGAAGTAAACAGCATGTCATAACAATTTACAAATAATATCCATTCCTGTTGATTTTCGGAGCTTGCCAGTGTCAATAAAGATAGCGGTCACAGCCACGAAGGTTTGTTCGCAGTACCACTCAGATTTTGGGGGAAATCATGCAGACACATTGACAGGTCTGAAACTTTAACAAAAATATATGCAAGAACTCCTAACTCTTTCAGAGTACCTCTGCATCAATCGTGTTGCCAAGTTTAATCGGTTAGATAATTTAAGAAGCGAAAGTGAGTTGTGATTGGTACGCTCAACTTCCCAGCGTAGACACCTGATTAGATAAAAAGCCAGCCAAGGGAGGTAATAAAATCATCGGGCCTAGCCGTAGATAGTGAATTTCTCACCTTTGTAGCCTCTGTAAGACCCCAGAGCCCAGAGTAAAAAAATAATTGGCCCTTTGATACCCCTAACCTACAACTCTAACCCAATATAAACCATGCTCTGAAAATTACCCAGTACATGTAAATGCCTACAAAAGAAAAGTTCAGTGGACTGATCCATCTGCTCATGAGATGCTCATGCACTGGCCCATCCCATTGCATATCAATGGGGGACATTCTATCATAAGTTTGACCCTGGACTGAGCTGACACAAATTTCAAATAAACTGGGGGTGAGCAATCTCCTGTACTGTACACTTCTCTAACCCCAGTAACAACAGTGTTGTTAACAACGTTGCCTGTCACCATCCAACACTCACAAGGGGATTGGGAAAAGGGGCAATGGGCCATTTTGTACATAAGAATAAAAAATGGCCCATTACAATTTTGAAGTTTACTATTGATGAAAGGGCATTGGCCAATTCTAAATTCAGAAAATGGCTAATTATCCTGAAAATGGCCCATTGTCAAAGTTCTCTAGCCCAATCCCTGCACACGTTACATTAAAATACACAAACAAAAAATCCTGGAGACTGAAATGAGGCCTTCATTTAGAATGGTCATTTTTTCATTAAATAACAGAAACAAAATTGTAAACTTCCAAATGACAGTACCACTCTAAAGCCACAAGATGCACAGTCGAGTTGTCAGATTTATCATGCCTGGATAGACTCTGACCAGAGATATTTTAGAATAATTTCATTTGTGCCAGTATATTTTATTGTAGTTATTTAACTAAAAACTAGGCCAAATAATGCATTTATTTGAGTTTGACTTGAACTGACATCAAATTAGCCAATTGACTTGAAGTAGAACATTAGGCATGGTCTTAATACATTACTATAAAACCGACATGTTTATCATGTACAGGTTCCCCTAGATTTGTTAGGTTTCTGGAAGAATAAAGGAATTTCCAGTATTATTGGTAATATTTTGAACCCGTTGACACATCGAGGGAAAAACAAAGCGCCTTTTGTAAGCTGGATATTAAGATCTTATATATGATTGATGATAGATGAGGATAACTCTACTTCCCAACTTATTTTCAACTGTAGTTACTATGGTTACTGTTCATGAATTATGCAGATGAATATTTTCAAAGGGTGTAACTGAACACCAGTTGATACTGTAGAAACTAACTGCCTCACATATGAAATGACTAGCTGTTGTATACACTGGCTGCATGCCTACTGTAAACATTGACTGCCTGTGTGACTTCAGAGTTTGATGACGGGGCTGATGTTCCATCGGCCGACGGACCACATCCAGTATCTTCTTGACTGTCTCGAGAAGGTCAAGAACAATGGACAGGTCACATGGAACATGTTTGTGGAGTACAAGCGCTCCAAAACACCACTTCCACCCATCACACCTGAGAACGGCAAACGTCCCGGATCTCGAGGGAGGAGGTCAACCACACCAAAAAGTAAGATCTCCTGTACCTGTCTGTTCTCAAAATGTTGGATTCTATAAGCCTGTAGTTGCCTACAGTCAGACATAATAAAGTTTATATGTTGATAAAGATGAATAATTAGTTATGACTATTTCTTTTCAGTTTTATCAGTGTATAAAATAAAGCCTGTCCGACCGCCCGACACAGGCTAGATTTCTGACCGACGGTCTAGATTTACAGTTAGCCAGCCCGATGGTCTGGTAATAAATTTAGATGTTCCATACATCTGAGTAAATTCACCATATCTTGCTTGGTGTTTGGTCTGGTTAAATCCATTTTGGGCTGGTAACATTTTTAAGTTACCAGCCCTGATGTCTGGCTGGGTTTTGGCTTATTTCATACACTGGTTTTATCCATATTTGTGAAATCTTGACACATCAAGGGAGATAACTCCCTTGGTATTGTTTTTGAGCATCACACTGCAGACAAGTTCTCAGACAGCCTATGCTTTATGAGAAAGGGAGTTGTGTAACTAGTGTTCGAAATTAAGTGTAGAAGGGTACCATATCATAAGCATAATGTGGAACGAGAGATTTATGGGGTCCCTAGTTGAAAAGACTGGTTGCTGAGACCAACAGTGTTTGCCTGTAAGACATGGCTTTGTTTTTCATTGTGACATCACATTGCATGTTCCATATATTTGGTGTACAGAATATGTTTTTGATGCCTAGAAAGTAGCTGAAAGCCATATTCATCCTCTCAATGACTTCATATGATTATCGCTTGTTTGAATATATTCTCACAGAAACTGCCACTTGTCCTATATCCAGCACAATATTTTCTATGGTATCCAAGTCCTATTTCACAGAGCTATCGTTAGACTACGACTTTCATAACTCCTATACTTCAACATACTCTTTGTGAAACAAGACCCAGTTGACAACAGAAACATGGAACATTTTCTTCTTTTCAATATTTTAAGAACTATCTATCATTCTTTTGGTGTCTCTCTCTCTCTCTCACATTATGCTTGCCTTTGTTGAGTCAACCCCTTGCCATACTGTCATCATTACGTATGTTCTCTCCACTATCTAGATGGCCCTGACTGTTTCTGGCTGCTAGACACGTATTACACAATACAAGGTATACCCAGCACCCCATGCACAGCACTTGATCCAAGGACCAGGCATTTAACAACATAGGCAAGATACTGTTTGGATGACAACTAGTTTATTATATTATAATGTGACGTTTCAGTGTAGATTCCTATGCTGTTGTCACTCTAGCTTTGACAACAGTATTAGAACCTTTACCGATGAATAATAATAATAAGTTGTCATCCATAAAGTATCTTGCCTTTATCATTACTAAGCAACTTCTAAAATGCCAATGAAAGAGATTATTTATTAACACATGTAATGTTCTCAGAGCATGTTTATTCAGTTGGTTCAATTTTGGATGTCTCTGAAAATATGCAATGCAAAAGAACCTAAAAGTTGAAAAGCAAGAATTTGTTATAGTCAACTGATGCATATTCATCAGAAACTTTTTGCATTCAACATGCGAAACTACATATCAGATGAGATGCATAACTGTCATGGCAGTCAAAGCAACATTGTCTGATAACTTTTTTATTAGGGCTGTAATGAATACACTATGTGGCGAAATTTAAAAATGAGAAGTTATTGCCAGTTAAAATAAGATCATGTGTATCAACAATAGATAAATGTTTGCACATATCCTTGTAAGTTGTATAACCCTGTAAGATCCATGTTAGAATTGGTCTTCAACAATCCATGCTTGTTGTGGTCAGGCTCCCTGACTTGGTTGACACATGTCATCGTATCCCGATTGCATAGATCGATGCTCATGCTGTTGATCAGTGGATTGTCTGGTCCAGACTTGATTAATTACAGGCTGCTGCCATATAGCTGGAATACTGCTGAATGAGGCTTTAAACAACAAACAAACAATATACCCTTGTACAGGTGTCCATCAGTGTTGTGAGATAACTGTTTGCATCAAATGTATATCAGATTGGCAGCATTCTTGTGTTCATTGTCACACTCAAGTTTCATGCTCACATTGTCACATGTCACATCGTTATTTTGTTGTTCTTTTCTCACCACTCACTGTGTGCTCTGAATTCACCCACCATTCAACTTTCTATGTAACTAATATTGTTTATTTCCACTTCCACAGGGTTTTCGAGGCCCAAAGGGTAATGCCTGGCCATGAGCCTTATGTTTGAATAACTCACTTCATGTTGAGATTTCTTATGTATTATACAAGGTGTGGATTTGTGGGACAATTGTGTTATTGTTTCATAGATGTATAAGCAGGGCTCCAGATAATTTTTCAACATGAGGAGTATATTTTTAAATATAGGAGTACTGGAAAAACTTAAGAGTTCATTTAGAGTACTGAATGGAATTTAATGGAGTATGTGATCTTGTGTTCGTTTCATATATGCACCACAATATTGCTACTCTTTTGTAAACAGGTAAAAAAACAATAAAACAATATTTTTTTCAGATAAATACGTCTGTAAATGATTCTAAGACCGTACACCATTGTTGTGGTGCGTATCTGCTACTGTTTCTACATTATTTTCTACCGTATCGTGCATATGTTTTATCCGTACATACGCCGATACGGCCCTTATCTGGAGCCCCTGTATAAGTGAACGTCACTGTAGAATAACTATCTTGGTGACTTGTCACTGTCACCATTACGTATCTCGATCAACATCGATAGCACACAATGTATTGAAATTAGCGACAGATTACCTTTGCCGGTCACTTCAGTAATTATCCTTTGCTGCTTCATACGATAATGCACACAGAGACAATCCTACTTTTGTGTCAGCAATCTGATGACATCAATAAGTTGTTTAGTTACCATGGTAATGTGGTTCATAATTGTGAGAAACTAACAAGCACCAGCTTATAGACAACACTTTACCATGTGAATTGGTAAGATAAAGCTGGTTAGACTTGAGATAGAAAGGAAGAAATAGGAAGTTAGGAAAGGGGATTAATTTCGTATTTTCGAGGTGCAGTCTAAGTAAACTTAGGCTCAGTATTATTCGTTACACTGCTATAATGAGTCTAACAAACCCTGGTAGAAGGTCGCTTCAGCTAACCTTTGGGCGACCTATGACCATCCAATCAAACGTTAGACGGGCGAACGGATTTAACCAATCAGACAAAAGCTACTATTTAGGGTTCGACGGGACTTACAAAAGGCTTTTTTGATTTTCTCTTCCCTGGTCGCTGACACTGATCTCTCAACAAACAAAAATCCGCTTTAAACATACATATTTGACCTGCAGTATATACGCTTAGGGGTTTCTGATGACATGGTTAGCATTAGCTTACCAGTATATTTCCGTTATTTTCATCGACTGTTTACTCGCTGTTGTGAATAATGCGTCCTCCATGTGTATCACTCGGAAGCGATCGGACGGAAAATAGCATTCAGAATTGTTCAAGTTTCGGAGTAAAAGTTCAAACGGTATGTGCGAATCTTAACTTTCGTGATTTGGTAAGCTGTGTTCTGGTTGGTCAATTCAAAAGGTTAGCTGACGCGGGTTTGTTAGACTCAGTATAGCAGTGTAACGAATAATACTGAGCCAAAGTTTACTGTTCGAGGTGGGAATGTTGATTGTGGGGTTGGTGATGGTAGGAGTGGATATGTTTAGTAACAGGGGAGGGATATTGATGGTTGTTGGGTAGGTATGTTGGTGATGGAAATGGGGGTAGGAATAGTGATGGTGGGGATGCTGATGGTAGGGTGGGGATAGTGGTGGTAGGGGTGGGTTGGGATAGTGATGGAAGAGGTGGGGATAGTGATGATGGGAATGGTGACGGTTGGGTGGTGAGGTGATGGTAGGGGATAGCGATGTAGGATTGGGCATAATGATAGTATGGGTTGGGGAATAGTGATGGTAGGGGTGAGTTGGGATTGTGGTGGAAGGTGTGGGGATAGTGATGGTGGAAATGGCAATGGTTGGGTGGTGAGGTGATGGTAGGGTTGGGGATAGGGATGGGTTGGGATAGTGATGGTAGGTGTGGGGATAGTGATGGCAGGGGTGGGTAGGGATAGTGATGGAAGGGTTGGGGATAGTGATGGCAGGGGTGGGAATAGTTATGGTAGGGGTGGGTTGGGGATGTGGTGGAAGGGGTGGGGATAGTGATGGTAGGGTTGGGGATAGTGATGGCAGGGGGTTGGGATGGTGATGGTAGGGGTGGGTAGGGATAGTGATGGAAGGGTTGGGGATAGTGATGGTAGGGTTGGGGATAGTGATGGCAGGGTGTGGAATAGTGATGGTAGGGGTGGGTTGGGATAGTGATGGAAGGGTGGGCATAGTGATGGTAGGGGTGGGGGATAGTGGTGGAAGGTGTGGGTATAGTGATGGTGGGAATGGCAATGGTTGGGTGGTGAAGTGATGGTAGGGTTGGGGATAGTGATGGTAGGGATGGGTTAGGATAGTGATGGAAGGTGTGGGGATAGTGATGGCAGGGGGTGGGTAGGGATAGTGATGGAAAGGGTGGGGATAGTGATGGTAGGGTTGGGAATAATGATGGAAGGGGTGGGGATAGTGATGGTAGGGGTGGGTTGGGATAGTGATGGAAGGGTTAGGATGGTGATGGTAGGGTTGGGGATAGTGATGGCAGGGGTGGGGATGAAAGGGTGATGCTAGGGGTTGGGATAGTGATGGAAGGGGTGGGAATAGTTATGGTAGGGGGTGGGTTGGGATAGTGATGGAAGGAGTGGGGATAGTGATGGTAGGGTTGGGGATAGTGATGGCAGGGGGTGGGGGATGGTGATGCTAGGGGCAGGGATAGTGATGGAAGGGGGTGAGGATAGTGATGGAAGGGTTTGGGAATGGTGATGGAAGGGTGGGGATGGTGATGGTAGGGGTGGGGATAGTGATGGCAGGGGGTGGAGATAGTGATGGCAGGTGTGGGGATGGTCTTGGTAGGGGTGGGTAGGGAAAGTGATGGAAGGGGTGGGGATGGTGATGTAGTAGGGGTGGGGATGGTGATAGTAGGGGTGGGGATAGTGATGGCAGGGGTGGGGATGGTGATAGTAGGGGTGGGGATGGTGGTGGTAGGGGGTGGGGATAGTGTTGGCAGGGGTGGGGATGGTGATGGCAGGGGTGGGGATAGTGATGGCAGGGGTGGGGATGGTGATGGTAGGGGGTGGGTTGGGATAGTGATGGCAAGGGTGGGGATAGTGATGGTAGGGGTGGTGATGGCAGTTGGGGGATAGTGATGGCAGGTGTGGGGATGGTCTTGGTAGGGGTGGGTAGGGAGAAAGTGATGGAAGGGGTGGGTATAGTGATGGTAGGGTTGGGGATGGTGATGGAAGGGTGGGGATAGTGATGGTAGGGTTGGGGATAGTGATGGCAGGGTTGGGGATAGTGATGGCAGGGTTGGGGATGGTGATGGTAGGGTTGGGGATGTTGATGGTAGGGTTGGGGATATTGATGGCAGGGGTGGGTTGGGATAATGATTGAAGGGGTAGTTATGGTGATGGTGGAGATGCTGAAGATGGGAGTGGGGATGGTGGTTATGTAGGTAGACTAGTCATAGGTTTGATCATAGCCAAGGAGGATGTTTCTAATACAGAAAATTTGAATTACAATCTATATGATATTTCAGAAGAGATAGCACCCCTGGATGAGAAGCGAGCATCCCCACTACCCCCTATTGGATCTGTTGCTGTGGAGAAGGTGAAAGCTGAGGGTATCCCTGATGTGCCCATCGTCCTGGTCATGGGTAGGTTATCTAATGTACTCATATATTATTGTAGCATACCAATGAAGATCTGGCTTATAAACACTGGTCTTCATTGAATGAGTGAGTGAGTTTAGTTTTACGCCACTTTTAGCAATATTCCAGCTATATCATGGCGGGAGACACCAGAAATGGGCTTAACACAATGTACCCATGTGGGGAATCGAACCCGGGTCTTCGGCGTGACGAACAAACGCTTTAGCCACTACGCTACCCCACAGCCCCACTGGTCTTCAGCATCCAATGTTAGTCATAAGAGGCGACTAACAGGATCGGGTGGTCAGACAAGCTGACTTGGTTGTCTCATGTCATCGTATCCCAATTGTGTAGACTGATGCTGTTGATCACTGGATTGTCTGGTTCAGACTCGATCATTTACTGACTGCAACCATTCAGCTGGAATATTGCTGAGTGAGGTAAACAAACACACACAAAATTTGATTGTACTCTTGTAGAATAATATTAAATTGCTAATTTAGTATTTTCCACAAGATGTTATTGATATGTATTGTATTGGGCAAATATGTGTCATTGCCTGACCTTCTACTGTTGTGATGTAGGTGGCCCAGGTAGTGGGAGAAGCAAGCAGGTGCAGACGTTGCTGACACGGGCGGAGGGCTGGGTTCACATCGACATGGGTGACCTCATCAGACAGGAGCTGAAGAACCGCAGCACTGCAGAGGAAAGGTGGAGGATGGCCGCAGAGCTTGTGTCTGATGGAGAGTTCATATCAGATGTAGGTTACAGAATATATGGTACACAACTTTCATGGGAAAACTTTGTCCTGGGAAAAACATATTGACTTACCACTTTGAACGTTTGTCATTACTATATTCATCTCAGGCGATGAGGGGCGGTGGGGTAGCCTAGTGGTTATAGCGTTCACTTGTCACGCTGAAGACCCGGGTTTGATTGCCCGCATGGGTGAAGCCCATTTCTGGTGTCCCTTGCTGTGATATTGCTGGAATATTGCTAAAAGTCGCGTAAAACCATACTCACTCACTCATTCACTCAGGCAATGAATTACAGATGTTGCTACATTGACTTTGTGACATATTTAGCAATATTGACCTACGCTCACCTCAGTAAAGTGGCATATATCGTCACACTTACCTACATTATGTAGTGGCATTGAGCCTGCATTGACTTTGGCACATCCATTGCAACTTTGACCTGTACTGACCTACAAGCTTACACTGAAACAGTGGTCTACATTGTCTTGTTTATTTTGTGACATGCCTAGAAACATTGATCTTTGTTTTCTTAATGATCTATATTCAACAAGCCGCTTACATTGTCACATTGACCGACCTTGACCAAGGGACATACATTGCCACATGACCTACATTTACCTAGTGGCATTCATTGAACAAGAGACCAAGATTGACTTTGTGACATTCAATTGCAACATTGGCCTACTAGGCTACACTCAACAAGAGCCCTTCAACGCCCTGTTGATTTTGTGACATGCATGCTAAGATCAACCTACATTGTCCCACTAATCAACATTGAGCAAATGACCTTTATTACAACGTGGGTCCCGTTTCACAAAGCGATCTTAGCGCTAAGATGACTCTAACTCCAATACTTTAACATAGACATAAAAACTTATGATCATTGTAGCACTATGATTGCTTTACCTTGTGACCTATATTGCTGCATGTACATAAATGTCATTACGTTGAGTTTACCAAGGAAACCTCTTTAGATAGGCTACATCCAATCACCAACCTATTTGTCCTTGTCATACAGACAAAAGAAAGAATTAATCAGAACGTTTTCTTTTTTTTTGTTTCAATTTGTATCACTGCAGGTATGTTTGTATTCCAGGACTTGTGTCTTGAGCTGTTCCTGCAGGCTGTCAAGGAGAACAAAAGCGCCAAGGGCTTTCTCATCAGCGGTTACCCTCGAAATGAGAAGCAAGTAGATGACTTTGAGACAACTGTGAGTATCTGACAGTTCCATTTACAGTTGTCTCTTGAGACCTTCGTCCTCCAAGGACTGACAGGATTTTGTGGTTCATTAAAAAGCTTTTGCAAAATTTGAATCAAGTCTATCTGACACATATGGGATCAGGTGGTCAGGTTTACTGACACATGTGTACCCGTGAAGTTCCGGGTTAGAATATTGATATTCAGTAACCCATGCTTGTCATAAGAGGCGACTAAAGGGATCGGGTGGTCAGGCTCGCTTGCACATGTCATCGGTTCCCAGTTGAGCAGATCGATGCTCATGCTGTTGATCACTGGATCATCTGGTCCAGACCCCATTATTTACAGACCGCTGCCATATAGCTGGAATATTGCTGAGTGCGGCATAAGACTCAACTCACTCACTCACTACTCACACATGTCATGGTACCCCTATTGTATAGATCAATGCCCACGACAGTCAGTCATTGGATTTTCTGGTCCTGACTTGAATATTAACAAACCATCGTCATAAAGCTGGAATATTGCAGAGTGTTGTTAAACAACAAACAAACATGAAGCCATGCTATGCTTGTTGTAACAGGAAAATAGCAGGATTCGATGGTCAGGATGACAGACGTTAATTATGTATGCCACTTGCATTAAGTAGTGTTCATGATATGAATCACTGGAATGTCTGGCCAAGACTTTATTATTTGGAGACTGACATCACTTTGGAGGAGTATTACCGAGCGTGCAGTAACCAAATAAACAAGGTATACAAAAATAAGTCCTATTCAATGATTGTTTGCAGGTGGGTCGTGTTGACCTAGTGATGCTGATCGACAGTGAGGAAACCTTCCTGTCTAAACGTCTCCTTCAGGACAGTGCCACAAACAACCGCAGCGACAACAACATCCACGCCGTCCAGAAGCGACTCCTGCTGTTCAAGGAACAAACTCTGCCAGCCATCAAACACTTCGACGACCAGGAGAAAGTCATCATTGTGAGTGTACTTGAAAATTACCGAGTAACAAACAGTGTGTTTTCCAATTAAAAGGCATATCTAGAAATCTGATCAAGACAGTATTTGGGTGTTTCATATGTTTAAAGGTGAGTTCATAAGAACTGGTTAGAAGGACACACACTTGTAAAGATGACTTTACGCACACTGATGCATCCTACAGGCACTACAGTTAACATGGTACAGATGCTGTTTTTAACACATTACAGGCACTACAGTTAACATCATAACTCTACAGTTAACATGGTAGAGATGCTGTTTTTAACACATTACAGGCACTACAGTTAACATCATAACTCTACAGTTAACATGGTACAGATGCTGTTTTTAACACATTACAGGTACATTACAGTTAACATCATAACTCTACAGTTAACATGGGTAGAGATGCTGTGTTTTTTAACACATTTTTTAACACATTACAGGCACTACAGTTAACATCATAACTCTACAGTTAACATGGTAGAGATGCTGCTGTTTAACACATTTAGGCACTACAGTTAACATCATAACTCTACAGTTAACATGGTAGAGATGCTACAGTTAACATGGTACAGATGCTTTTTAACACATTACAGGTACTACAGTTAACATCATAACTCTACAGTTAACATGATGCTGTTTTAACACATTACAGGCACTACAGTTAACATGGTAGAGATGCTGTTTTTAACACATTACAGGCACTACAGTTAACATCATAACTCTACAGTTAACATGGTAGAGATGCTGTTTTTAACACATTACAGGCACTACAGTTAACATCATAACTCTACAGTTAACATGGTACAGATGCTGTTTTTAACACAGTTAACATGGTACAGATGCTGTTTTAACACATTACAGGTACTACAGTTAACATCATAACTCTACTGTTAACCTGGTACAGATGCTGTTTTTAACACATTACAGGCACTACAGTTAACATCATAACTCTACAGTTAACATGGTACAGATGCTGTTTTTAACACATTACAGGCACTACAGTTAACATTAAATGGACAGTTAATATAAAACGGTCAGTAAAGATAACATTCTCAGGGGGTGAAAATAACTTTAAAATTGCTAATGTACTCCGGTACAGTGGTACCTGTAAAATCACTTGCCTTAATTTTTCCACTGTACTGGCCGATTTTCTTGTTGATTTTTTAAATAAACAACATAATTAATATTGGAAAGTCAACCGGACACCGGTACAGCATGACATACAAATTTGCTAGCCCAACAGAAAAAAACACAGGACTGGGGCGTCGGGCAATGGGTTATTTCCACCCCTGCATTCTGCAGTTACAAAGTTAACCTTTTACGGATACTACAATGCACATACTAACTACAGTTAACATCATACAGCTGTTGCATTTAACACATTACAGACACTACAGTTATGATGTTATAGACACTAATGTTAACATTCTGAAGACACTACAGTTAACATTCTGAAGACACAAAAATGACATTTCAATGGCCTGATGTATTTTTCCATACCATTAAGAAAGTTTTTAAAACATTCAGTTGTATATATTTCAAACAAAAACAAATATTTTACAACTTTTAAGAAATAGTATTACCAATAGCTTGACCCTTTTTTAATGTGAGTGAGTTAGTATTTAACGTCACATCGGTAATATCTAAGCCATATCGTGACGACCTTCATTAATGACGCTAAGTATACAAAAATGGTGCCAAAAGCTGGCATTCTTACATGATACAACCAAGTATCGTGAGAAACAAAAAGCATGTTTTTATTACAAATGTAAGGATCATGTATGCGCTGGTGATGTGCTTTTTCATAATTGCTTTACAGACAGGGAATCTAAATTAGCATAGAGTTTAAAGGCTTTTGTGGTGATGGCCACCTTAAGCACAGCGATATTCGGTATGTCATGTTTAATAGAAAAGGTAGGAAGGCGTTACCTATTCTCGAGGTACTTAGGGATATCGGCTGAAAAAATAACACAAACAATTCTTATCGTATTAATGCTTGTTGTTTTTAAATGAAGGGCCTTCTCCTCTAACATCTACATCTATCAGCTGCTAGATCCATCAGGTGAATTACCACTCGTGAGCCCGGTGATAAACAATGCCATCCGCCATTGACGAAACGAGGCTTCTCCCATTCTCGCGGTATTACCAGGAATTAACGTTATTGAGTGTATGTAAGAGCAATCCTGCTGGAAAGGGCGGGAAAAAGTAATGATATGTCCAAGTTAAACTCCCCAATATTCGTGACACTGCAAGATTTTGATCACTCACAGACTTGGGCCACTTCCTAGTTTCCAGCCGGTGATGTAAACAACCGCTAAGTGTCGCTGCATCGGCGATTTCATCAGAAAACGTGTTTACCACGAGAATAGGAAACCCGCGAGAATAGGAGACGGACCTATACTTCTTATTATGATGTAACAGTGCCGACTCAAATATTGTATGGTTCATGTGTTGGTTCTGACTGTTTCAGTTTGAGGGTGACCAGGAATCATGGGCCCTGGGGAAGGAGATGGTGGCTGCATTTGACACTAAGATCCTTGGGAAGGAGGAGACCCCAGCGTATTCAATAGGTCAGTGGTGCTATTACAGTGGAGATATTATGGACGATAAAGTTAACATTCTAAAGACGCTACAGTAAACATGCTGAAGACATTACAGTTAACATTTTACAGACGCAACAATGGACATTATAACTCTTTAACACGTTACAGACACTACAGTTAAGATGTTATAGACAATAATGTTATCATGATAAAGACACTACAGTAAACATGATGAAGATACTACAGTTAACATTTTACAGACGCAACAATGGACATATTAACTCTTTATCACGTTACAGACACTACAGTTAAGATGTTATATACAATAATGTTAACCTAATAAAGACACTACAGTTAACATTCTAAAGACGCTACAGTTAACATTTTACACATGCAACAGTGAACATAATAACTCTTTAACACATTACAGTAGTGCTAGAGCAGTTAATCGTAAGATCGGTCAATCATTCGATCTAAGTCAAAATAAACGATTGTCGATTACAAATAAACTGCAGATCGATAATCAGAAATAATCATTATTTTTCCTTATCCTGACTCATGCTCTTTTTGCTTGTCTTCTTCTTCTTGCGAACATAGTGGAACACTTGTATCTCCCTAATTGAAGCTCCCTTCAATTTAAAATCACTAATTAGTATTCACCACGAGTTACCTCCTTTCCACAAGCGCGGGAACGAGGGCGCCACCTCTACCCATGTGCCTCACTCTCTCCTTCTTCGCCCAGTGAGCTGGACGTGAGAGCGCCTGTGTCTCCCGACACACTATATCCTTTGAATTATATTTAGTTAGTTACCTCGTATAGACATCTATAGAGGTTTAGCTAGTATCCTTCAACGATTATATATTGATATTTAGTCGTTTTCTACAGTTTATTCACGGACGCCGTGTTTGTTTCAGTGGATTACGTTGATGAAAATTCTGTACTATTGCAGATTACGCTTTTATGCTGCTGCTGATCCGCCTTTAATATGATGTACGGCGCCATGTTTATTATATTCACATTGCAGTTGCGGTACTAATTTATCCAATTCTACCTTTTTATTAATATTTACTTTGGCGTTTGGCACGCACAGCAGATAGGTCGCGTATGCAGAGTCTAGTATGACTGATACACCGAACCCTCGCCAGTCTACTGCTGTTGGCCGACTCCCCTCCCGTGTGGTGTTCCGCTAGAGTGGTGGAGAGGTGTGGGACGTAGTCCGCCATCTCCAAGAAGCATCCTGCTTCCCCAGACATCCCATCGTCGCAGCAGAAGACTAGAGGGTTTTTCTACCACATCTCAACAGCCGGAGACCGCTCCCTATCGCAGTTTGGGCCTGTATGATGATCAGCCGGTCATCATACCAGATGTACATCAAAGATTGACCGATGTCGGCACAGATCAGCATGCAGCCTGATGTACCAACGCAGATATGCGATGATCGTCCTGAGGGTCCCATCATTACCAACACTCAACGCAGACGTCGCACACCCAGGGCAGCGTCGACCTCTGAGGGAAAATCAACGAAGTCTACTAGGACTTTCTCAACCGAGATTGTTCCAGCCGATGACCTGGACTCTACGATGATCAGCTGATCATCATCCCCGACGCGACGCCACAAGAAACGACCGGTGACAGCTACAACGACATCAGCAGAGATCACCATGCAGCCTGATGCCTCTACACTGATATCGGACGATTTTCCGGTGGACCCCTCCATTAACACCGCAGATAAAGCACCGACGACCTCGTCGCAGACCATCCCAGAAGACATGATGCGACAAATTATGAACATCATGGAGGACCACTATATCTCTGCGGTAGCAGGGTCCGAGCCAGCGAAGGCTCCAACGTAGACAGCACCCCAGAGGCACCCCCCGTCAACGTAGCAGCCAGGACGATGTCACCTTCGCGAAGGAAGTCACGGACCACCTTGACGAAGGACCTAGATGTACAGCCTTCGCGAAGGCGGAAAGAACCTAGATGTACAGCCTTTTCGCGAAGGACTTCGCGAAGGCAGGATAGATCATCACCTTATGCGGTTTCATCCCTAGATGTGGACTCGACCATCAGACATCACGGAAGCCTTCGCGAAGGTCATATCGTCGTTCCCGGACCGACGCAGAGGAAGCTTCAGCGAAGGCAGGCCAAGGAGACACCTGAATCCAGATCATCATAATCTAGAAGGACATCGAGGGACTATACAAGAGCTTGGCGAAACTATCAACGTTCCCCTCACAGTCTCGAGAAGATCAACCCATAGACAAGTTGATCATCGATATCAAGTATAAGAACTACAATCGTATATTGGTTCTGTTGAATCCATGACGAGACGTATGTTCGCTGGCCTAAATAGATCTAGAACGATCAATTAGACACTTATCACCAGACTTAAGAACACGACTTCTGAATATGATAAGATGATCCATGCGCCCCTACTTAGGCAGCTTCGCCCGATCCCACATCCTGTTAAACACAGAGGCTGTTCACAAAGCAAGAGCTCATATATATATTTAAATATATATATATATACTAATCGGGCTTTGACTCGACACCTTCGCGATGGTCGCGAAGGCTAAGTGGCTCCAAGTCTACTTCACCCAGAAGATCTAGAAGGGATACTTCGAGAACTTCGCGAAGTCTCCGGCGTTCACCGAGGAAGTCTCCTCCAAGGTTTCCATATACTAGCCACTCGTCATATATAGCTACTCGTCAGTCCGTTTCAAGACGCCGCATAAGTTGATTATCAACTGTATGCCAGATGCCGTCTATAAGCCTACGCGAAGATAATTGCTCAGGCTATTTACAACACAAACGTCGCTGTATTATTAGTCAACGACATTTCATAGATCTTCACAGAAATCAACTATTCCGTATAAATTGCTAATATACAATCCCGGACGACGATACGATTATCTACATGCGTGACCATTACGCATATCTGCAGACAATTCAATATCGAAATTGAACAGCAGCCTTGTTACAGCGAGTATAACTCTTAATCGTCAAAGTTTCTGAGAAGAAATATGTACAACAAGTTCAACGTTAATTCTACAATTATGACGATACATTCATGTATACAGTCTACAAGCTCACAACTTGCAAGTTGTTTATACCCTTATATATATAAGGAAGTCGGAATTATATTCAAAACTGAAATTACTTTCACGACAACCAGGAAAATAACCTACCCAGCATAAAATTACAGAGCGAGATATTTCGCATACCGGAGGTTTTTCAGCGATTACCATTAACCCTCGAAACACGCGTGGTCACCGGATAACTTCGGAAGCTACGGTGAAGACCGACGTTTATGCTAATATCAACGGCGACAAGAATTTATTCAAGGTGGGTTTTTTCCGCTACACCGGTGACATCACAGCACGGGTATTATACAGAATCAAAATGCCTTGTTCTGATTGGACCGCATGAGGGACAACGACCTACACAGAGGTCGATCTCAATTCACAGTTCAAGACTTACGCCACAAGTGACAACTATATATCAGTGAACGAGCAAGCCTCATTACAGTCCAGTTAACCTGAACATTCATGATTAGACTGCCTTTCTTCAAGTTAGAGACCTCCCTGTCAAGTTAAGACGAGGGATCGGCAGTCAGGCGATTTTACATAAAGTTCAACGAGGACAGACACACCTGGTTGTGCACCTACATCGTCCAAGGACTTCGCAGAGCTTAATTACCTAGACGAAGATACAAGTGGATCTAAATCCACAGCGTTTCAGACTACAGCTGAATTTCATCAGCGACTAACACAACTAGATGGTTAGTAAACCTACTAAACTTCTGTTTGGAGAATAAAACGGAAATTTCACGCCCAACCTGGGGATATGAATATAGTGCTCCAACACCTCACAAGTGAGGTTTATGAACACGCCTGGATGACATACTTGGACCCCATGATACGATGATTCTATCAAGATGGCCAGCAAGAGCACTGTAAATTTATCTCCACCAAACCAAACAGGATGAAAAAATGCAACAGATTACTTCCTCTATCATCAACTTACGCAGAGTGAAGTCTCATGTACTATATCTCCATTTGGATCAGAACTGTCATACTACGTGCATATGCGGATGGACCTATTCCGACCCTCCATGAGCTTAATACTCATGATATTATAGCGTTAACTTCTACAATATTGTTCTACACAAATGTGATTGAAATAATGGAGGGTTTATTTCTGGAAATCCGATATGGTGGTTGCAAACCATTATCTGAGAGATATCACCACCGAGGACGTCTCAGGTATACATACACCAATTCGATCCCATGGTCCTCGCACAACAGCTGACAGTTCCTCGGAGAAGATAAGTCAATCTAACAGATTTTTACTTATCTTATAACAATACTAAATAGCTTCATGCTATGTATAATTTACTTAAGTTCCTTTTATCATCACAGTACTATGATTATTACATCATACAATATATAAGTTAACAACTATACAGAGTTTGTTATTATATATATTTACCTTAAGTTATTCATATCTTAAGAGTAATACTATGGTTACATGATAAATGCATTAGCTAACAAACTCTACAGAGTTTTTGGCTATTTTATACATAGCTTAAGTTAATTAAGCTAACAAACTCTACGGAGTTTTACTATTATATAGCTAACTTAAGCTAATTATACCTTAAGCATAGTACTATACTCATATTATTAAAATATATTGGCTAACAAACTCTAAGGAGTTTTGCTATTATATAGGTAGCTTAAGCTTATTCATATCTTAAGCTTAGTACTATGTTTATATCATATAAGTAGATTAGCTAACAAACTCTAAAGAGTTTTTTGCTATTTGGCTTAAGTATCATCATATTTCTAAGCAATATGGTTATATTATAACATGTATTAGCTAACAAACTCTACAGAGTTTTAGCTATTATATATGTAACTTAAGCTTATTCATATCTTAAGCAGTACTATGTTTATATCATATAGGTATATTAGCTATCAAAACTCTAAAAGAGGGTTTTGCTATTATATATTTCGCTTAAGTTTCA